CCCTAGACCCTAGACCCTAGACCTAGACCCTAGACCCTAAACCCTAAACCCTAAACCCTAAATCCTTTAGGGGTTTGCAGGATGAGGCTTCTTGGGTTTCAGAAAGGGGGTCGATAGGGTTTACAGGAGGTTTTAGGGGATTTTTTAATCTGCGATTTTCGTGTTAAGGCTTTTTTCAAACCCTAAACTCAATCCTAGATCCGCGCTTCGAGTCGTAGGCACTAAACTACTTCTGACAGCTTTCTAACTGCGGGGCGGGGCTCACTGTTGATATAGTCTCGAATCTTGATTGATCACATTTCATTTGAGGTCAAGCTTTACGATTCAGGTTTCACACCGAGCATGTTAAGGCTTTGTAGGGGTATATTACAGCGGCTGTCTAGGTTTATTGGGCTAAAAGCGGCTTACGTTCGTGGGCCATGCGAGGTTTCAGGGTCGCTTGAAGGCAACCCGGGACCAAGCAAATGGTCACAAATCCGGTCATATAAGGCCTCGTTTACGGCTACTTCGCTTATACCCGTGTGCAAAATGCAGTTACGACGTCTGTTTAACCATGAGGCAGGGCATAGGGTACAGTGCCCTAAACCCTAAAGCCTAAACCCTAAACCCACCGGCAGGACACCATCTGCTCATTTCCGTCCAGGCACTTCTACGACAATCGCCTCCAAAACGCCCAGGGCATGTCGCTGAAACCGCCCGTGCCGAGCGTGTGGCCGAGCAAAACCGATCGAGTCGTGTGGTTTCTTGGTGTTCTTCTGGTTGGCTGGCTCTTAGGACTTTAACTTTTTGGGTTTCTATATGAACCATAATAAGGAGACTAAAAGTTTAACTTTTTGGAGGGGTTCAGAAGTCAGCCAAGGTTTGATTGCTCCCATCCGCATAGCATGGGCAGCGTGATCACTGTGGGAAGCTCCCGCTCTCTGAACATGACCGCTCCTTCGGGGTACGAAGAAATATGTTTTTGAAGTTTGATTTTTATAATCCCTAACAAACTACTACACTTCAATTTTATTGCATAGGGGTACCAAATTCAGCACAGGTTCTGGAGAACAACACTTCCTTGCAGAATGAGGGCGAGGCGGATATGATCGTCAAGGCCGGAGTTCCCGAAGAAGCCTCGGCTTTTTTCCCCATGGGAACGCGGGTTTCAGGGTCTTAGGGTTGTAGGGTTTTAGGGCTTAGGG